GATTTGAAATGCTGAAGCACTGATTTTGCAATGTTGTAGTAGATAGTTTGTGATGTTGTAGTACATAATCTTATTTTTTGTGTTCTATGGTCAATTGTGTGATATTGCGATAAATAATTTGTGATGTTGCAGCACATGATTTTTAGATAATGCATGAGAGGTCTTCTTCCTCCTTGGCCCCAAGCAGCACATACCTCACCGTACCCCGCATCGTTGCTGTGTGTTGAAGCTAGCTTAATTAGCTATCCTTGTATTGGCCCGGTGAGCCGAATATGTAGATCAGGATAATTATAGAGGTGGACCTACGTGGAGCGAGCGGAAGCGACCAGAGCATGAATTTCCAAGCAATGAAGCTAACAATATCTCCCCTATACCACAATGCCAGTTATTTGGAGTACTTGTAGCAATTACATAACAATAACACAATAAATCACAAGGCTTGGGCAGTTGCTCGGTAGGTATAGTAGGACGCCATCGCCATCAAAACCTCCCTGCGCGTCGTCAGTCGTCACATAGCTTGCTCCCAGATGCCAACACTCTAGGCAGCTTCATTTTTATATAAGCAAAACCAAGGTAGAGCAGAGACATCCAGATCCAGGAAAGAAATGTGAATTCTACCAACGATCCTTATTCATTCTCTTCTCTTCTCTAGACACTGGACTGCTGTGTTGATTTCTATAGGGTAGAGCCATGGAGGATCGAGTGGAGATCGACTGGTGCAGTGGTGCAAGTAGAACCCAATGCAAGGCAAACCCTGACATCTCTTCTACCCACCCACGCACGCACCAGCCAAGCTTCTTTGAATCTAACCACATTGTGTGAGAATGAGGCCCTGTTTATTTTCTTTGTAAAACTTTTGCCCAGCACTTTTAGCTCATGTTTTGGACAAATGGATCTAAACAGGTGGAGCAAAAAGGGGAGGCTAAAGTTTTGTCTTTTGCATCTCAAGAGGTGTAAAACTAGACTAAAAGAATTGGGGGTGTGAAGGACACCTTATTTTGCACTTTTAACCCAAACTTTTGCCATGAAGCTAAACACCTCAATCAAGACTAAAGTTGAGCAGCAAAAGTTTAGGGGCTATCAGCTTGTTTCAGCTGATCAAGTGTGGACTTGTTTCAGCTTATGGACTTATTTCAAGTGTGGACTTGTTTCGGTTGATAAGTGTGGACTTATTTCAGTTTATTCTCTCACAAAATACTATTAAATAGTCCGAAAACTTACCAGCCGAACACCGGGCAAATGGAACTAAAGAGGGTCTGACAGACATCAGGATGCACTAGCGGACTGCAATTTCACCAAACCCGACGAGATACTCCAATCGGGCTACCGTCACGAGATGCCCGCGGTTTGCGGCGCCGCCAGATGCATTGATGTCATTGATGTCTCTGAGTCGATCATGGATCATCGCGGCCTTCAACCTGAGAACAACTTCAAGCCTTGATTAGTTGGACCTCAAATTCTAAAAAGTTGCTATAGTATCTGTCACATCGAATGTTTACGGCTCATACATAGAGCATTAAATATAGACGAAAAAAAACTAATTGCACAGTTTGATGGGAAATTGCGAGACGAACGTTTTGAGTCTAATTAGTCCATGATTGAACACTATTTGCTAAATAAAAACGAATGTGCTACAGTAGCCCCAAAATCCAACTTTAGGGAGCTAAACGCGCGCCAACTCTTTGAGATACTTGAAACATTCGTCGGATTTTTGTTGGAAGAAGTAAATAGCCCTCCAACTGGTGCCCAGAACCAAACCCAAATGGTTGTAGTCCCTCGATCCGAAAAATTTGCTTAGCCAATGCCAATGGTGCAGAGCGGGGTTCGCGCCCCAATCCATCGGCGCGGCCAGCCGGTGTGGCTATGTGGGCAACTGCTGCCGTGGAGGGCATGGATTGGCTGGAATCTAATGGGCGATGGATGAACAACGACGACCCCCTCGGCCCCTCCTCATGTGCTAGCGTCGCCGGCTGGCAACCACAATAATTCTTCACGGAAGCGACGACCAGGACGGCCACGACTTCTCACTCCTTCTCGAATGACACTGTTCTGTACATATGCAAGAGATTATTCATTTCTAATCTCACATTATTTCAGTTGATGAACAGGCAAAGTGATGGGTTTCATATAGTTTTAGATTTTTTTTTGAGGATGCTTCAACTTGCTGGACACTGATAAAATCATAAAAATATGAATTGGTTTTGGACCAGCTTCTTTTTTTTGAACTGTTGGACCAGCTTCTTCAGCACGCTGGAGGCTGGACTGCTTATGGTTTGCTGATCACTGTAGTAGTGTAGCCGCACTTGCACTCGCAGTGCTGCTACTATGACAGTTCTAACTCACAGTCACGCTCAAACTCACGCTAGTTATCTGTGTGCGCATGAATTTGGTACTCCATTTCTATTCGAAATAAATATCTTAGAAATGAAACCTTAAACCAAGTAGCTAAGAAAGAGGGAGACTCACATTTTTTTGTATAGCCTCTTAGGGGCAAATAACCAATTCCTAATCTTTGGGAAGTTTAAATTACAGAGTGGACTCTAGATTAGGATTTGGGAAGATAAGTTGTTAGGGACCTAGGCTTTGAAACTCCAAACTCACAGATTGTCTGAACCAAACAAACAATAGCAGTAGAAGTGCTGAGTATGAGTCCACTTAATGTCTCTTTTAGAAAAAGTATTGGTGAGGAGCAAACTCGTAGACTAACGTACTATAGTTACTCTCGTATAGCTTTTATTAATTTAAATGAGGGCTTGGATTTTTTCATATGTAGTTTACATAAAAAATGGAACATTTACAGTCAAATCAATATATATGATCTTTGTCAATAACAGAGTTAACATAGGGAGGGAAAATTTGCCTACAAAAATGACCCCCGAACTAAAACTTTCATGTGCATTTTAAAAGAGGGTTATCCTTACTAATAATAATTTACTTAGGTAGAATTGGAATGATAGTAAAGTTTGCAGCTCTTGTAGTGAATCAACAATCTTTTAGCGGGCTATGTACTTTGTATTAAGTGTTTAACCTCCATTAATTTCAGATCCTTTCTTTACCTTTTGGTCTAAGCAGGGAGTCTGAAATTTAGAACTTCATTATTATGCTTTGTTGGGCAATATGGCTCACACACGGAATTATTTTTTGTTCAATAACATCTAAATAAAATCTTTTTTTGCATGTACTATTAGGAAGACACACTGATTTGCTGTTTTAAACTCTGATGTAGCATACTGATGACCAAAAGGAATGGTTGGCTAAGGTGTTCCAACTTCTAGATGAAGAGCCATACAATTCTTCGTTTCTCGTGTATGGTGTTTTAGATTTTGTGTTCATCTATAATGTTGAACAACTTTTTCAGATCGAAATTGTTTTGTGCTTATAATTCTTCAAAAGAAAAATTGTTTTGTGCTTGTAATAATTGTGGTCTAATGCCTCTTCTTTGAAGATGTCTGTAGCCTGAACCTAACCACTATCTAAAAAGAGTTTTATGCCTATGTGCTTATAGTTGTGATGAAATCGAAATGAAATGTGTAACCTCAACTGATACAATAATTTTGTGCAACCTGAAATGCCGAATATACGTGTTGACAAGAACCAACTCAATCTGCAAGTGCAAACAGTAAATATTAAAAAATGGACTAGTTCTCAACAAGGGTTCAGCATTACTACTTCTCCCCGAACTAGGCCATCACATCTACAGTATGAAGCAAATGCTGCTGGTTGAACATAGCTAATCAAATTGAATTGGGTGTGTTGCTCGGTAGGAGAGGAAAGGAGGAAGAAAGGTGAAAGCGAGGATGACACGCGAGTCCTTCCTTGACGTTGCTAACAGATCCAAAATGGGCATATATCCTCTCCTTTTTTTCATCTATCATTCCAAACGCAAAACATGAGATCCCATCCGCATAACCAAATAGGAAGACAGGATCATCCAATCCGAAAAAACTAGAATGGCCCTAGCACGGTCTTTAAAATTTTGGTAAAAAAGGACATGACTGTTTTAAAAGTTGGACAAAGGAAGGGGTTCTATTGTGGTAGTTCTTTTTGTGTTGTGTGTGGCTCACAATCCTTTTTTTTTTTTGTTTCTACTGGTAAGTTTTAAAGGTCCCCTACTAGCCAGGAATTCCAAGAGTATCAACCCTCCACCCCCACATACCCACTCCCAAGTCCCAAGTCCCACCCACAGTGCCATTAATTTGGAATAGGCACACAATAGATCACACTGACACGAGCGGTTGCCTGGTAGGTATAGACGTATAGTATGGTCCAAGAGCAAGGCTAATAATACAGTCGGCTGCTGGCCGTAAGGTTTCTTTACAGCCTTCTCTTAGTCCACTCATATAGTAGTTGGCTCTTCACTGTTAGGTCCCGTTCGCTGGTCTGAAACTTGGCTGAAAAACATTGTTCTGGCTGAATTGTTGTGAGAGAAAAACACTGTTCCGGCTAAAAAAAGAAGCCAAACAAGCCGAATATAAGGTAAGCCGAACAGGGCTTTAATATATGTCCCACTTGTCTCTCTCACAAAATTTCTTGGTTCTCGTGTCCAAGCTGGCTGTAAGCTTATAGCCCGCTTCTCCTCTGTCTCCTCTCATCTCTCCTCCGTCTCAGCATTTAGCCAGCTTACAGCCTACTGTTATACTTGCTCTAATGGGACCATCAAAGCCGCCCTGCGCGTGGTCACAGCTAGCTCTAGGGGGGCGGCACCTTTCGTTGGGTTCAGTTTATATATAAGCAGAACGGAGTCACGCAGAAGCAAAATCCACGAAAAGAAATGTGAATGTTACCATCTATATTTATTCTCTCTTCTCTGGACATAAGACTGCTCTGTTGATTTTCATATATAGGGTAGAGTAGAGATCGACCAATATAACCCAATGATGCAAGCAAGCATGGGCATCTCTCTTCTAGTCTTCTACTTATGTTAGTTATTATACCCACACACGTATGACACACCACATCAAGCCTAACCACATTTGTGACTTGTGTGGGGATGAGAGGCATCAGGATTCGTTCGCGATAATACTCGAGGATCCAAACGTGCCCAATATCTCCTCCTGCCACGGTGCCACTGATTTGCCGTCTCCTAAGCTGCGTGCTCCTTTTGGGAATTCTGTGTTTTGTCGCAGTATGGCCAAAGACGTCTGCGGCTGCGCCGCCGCATGATCCACTGATCCGGCGTCGATCTTCGCCGTCTCGCGACCATCCACAGTTCCGCCTGAGAGCGTGCTTTCAAGTTTCAACCAGCATCCAGCTTGTCTCCAGTCTCAACTGTGCACGCCGTGTACATCTTGATTTTTTTTAAACAAAACGATCACGACGTGAAGATGCACGAGCATTCGTTCTTGCATTGTTAGACGTTCGCTGCAAGATGTGCACGGTAGCTTTTACGGCTGCACGATGGTAGCAAGATAAACCGGCAATTTGTTACTCACAAGATTTTTTTTAATGTATACACACTATACACTGACATGACCTACCATTTAGTAATGCATATATAGGGGAAGTTTGGGCAAGGCCGAGAACAAAAATTCTGTACAAATCGCCGGGACAAAATGAAGCAGCAGCCAAGACACTATAAACCACCAAGCTACCAAAAACCACTTGGTATGACTTCCTCTACATGTTTTGCGCCGGGCCTGTTCGCTAGTTGGTGCTGGTGCTGGTTTGGGCTGGTTGGTGCTGGTTTTTTGTGAGAGGAAAACACTGTTGGCTGGCTGGTTTGGGCTGACTGAAACCAACAAGCGAACAGGTATATATCATAGTGTTATAAGATTTGTTATTTTTTTGCGCAATATTTCAGTGAATGTTACCATGTATTTGGCCTGCTACTTGTATTTCTAATTTTACAATTAGTGATTACATGCTCACTATTATTATACCCTAGATCATTAGCATTCATTACGTTGGCAAAATTAGCTACTCGGACTGTAACTCTGTAGAGCATGTATAACATTCCAGGGGCCTTATATATTACCCTGATTTTGGACTAGCTCGCAGAAAAGCTAATTTGCTAGACAGTTTGTAAGATATTTCTTTTCAAGATTGGCTATAAGATTAAATGTTCTTTAGCAAACTTGCTCATGAGTTGAAGCAGGTATACAAGCAGCCTGTTCGTTTGGCTGTGGCTTGTCGTAAACGATCGTAAATTTCCAGCCGAAACAGTATTTTTCTCTCACACAAATCAGCCAGCAGTACTTCTTCACGAACCAGCAACGAAACGAACCAGCCAACCGAACAGGCTGAAGATGTGGTAAGACCCGTTGTCGTCACTGTCGCCATCAACAGCTCCACCCTACCAGCGTTGAGGTGTTTAGGAGTATAATAAATTGATGTTAAGTGCACGTCAATCAGAGATTCTAGGAGTCTCTTTCTGTTTTGGACCAAGTTCATGACTAACTCCTTTGAAGTTCGATGTGGTTGTATGTATGCTTCCTACTTAGATATATATGTTTTATTTTTCAAATCTCACCCCCTAAAATTGATCTCTGAGATTGTACGATGACCCTTTAAAGTGTTGTCTGATGTAAGAGTCTTCAAAGATGTCCAATGACATGCATGCTTTAGTATTGTGTATTGTGCAAGAATCTTATTGTTTACACGAAAGGGCGCCTAATGTTCTACAGCCTGTTCGTTTGCCCGTAAACGATCGTAAATTTCTAGCCAGGAACAGTGTTTTTCTCTCACACCAAACCAGCCAACAGTAAATAATCCACAATACGATACGGCCTTCCGAACAGGCTGTAAAAAAGGACAAGTCTAGAGCCACCTGCTGCAAAGCACAAACTCTAATCAGAAAGGAGAATTGGGCTTCAGCTTCAGGTACCACAGATGTGTCAATCTGTCGGGCAAGGGCACCAGTTTCACTCATTAACACCTCTACCATCTGATAAGACGTTCAGCTTGTGAGGCTGCCAGCTGAAGCTTCATTTTCTTTGCGGGTGTACCAAGGCAAGGTGAGTTAGCAGCACCAACGGGTTCTTTTCTTGCTTTTTTATCTTTTACAGAAGTTGAAGACGATGAGCCCGTGTTTAGTTGGATGAAAATTGAAAATTTGGCTTCTGCAGCACTTTCATTTTTATTTGGCAATTAGTGTTCAATCATGGACTAATTAGACTCAAAACGTTCAATCTCGCAATTTCCAACCAAACTGTGCAATTAGTTTTTTTTCATCTACATTTAATGCTCCATGCACGTATCGCAAGATTCGATGTGATGGGTACTGTAGCACTTTTTGGAAAAACTTTTCACGAACTAAACAAGGGTGACTTTGGACCTGTTGCTGATGAAACTTCTCCAGAAAGCAAAGACTCCAGCTGTGTATCAGGTGTGGATGATACAGATTCTGACATCGTCTTCCTAATTTTGGATAAATACGCAACGGTTTCCAAAGTTGGTACATCCTTTGTCTCATCTATAGCCTTCAGACGATCTAACATGTCCTCCCTTACTTTAGAACAGCCTTCGCAGTCTTGAGACTGCACGATGTGCGATCTCATATGTGAAATACTGCGTGATCCAGGACAAATCCACCCACAGGCTAGGCACCTAAATGCATGCCGCCTAGCCTGTTTGTTTGGTTTAGGTAGTTTCATGGCGAACTGCCATAATCCTTCAACTTCGTCATTGTCCTGGCTGCAGAATTAAAGTACACAACACATCAATATATTGTCAGCTGTGAAACCAGAAAAGCTACATGTGGACAATACGATGCAATAATTATTACAAGTAAAATAAATTAGAACATCACTTACCGGATGGCGCTCGGGAAGTACAGATGTATATAGTCTGATATAGAGGTTTCAATACACTCGGCGCTGCGTCTGATGGCAGGCATAGATCTTGTTTTGAGTATTGTGTTAAGATCATCAAGTTTGCGCATAAGGTTTAGAGCTACAAATCTTCTTCCTTGGCATCCTCGAAGTAACTCTACTGATTTCTGACAGAAAGAAGCAGCCTCTTCAAACTTTTGATCGGTTAGCATATCTAACAATCTTTCCTCACGCGGGACCAACTTCATCGGGGGTCTTCTTGAGGATGGTCGCAACCAACTTGCCCAGGTAATCATCCAAACCTTCCCACTCTTGCTTGACAATAAAGGCGTTCGCCACTGAGGCATCAAAAGTCAGCAGCCTGCAGGCACCAAGAACAAAAAAGATATAAGCACGACTACAGTAACAATGTGTGGGTCAGATTTCCACGGTCAGAAAGCATGGCCACAAACTCAAATCATGCATGAAGAGGAAAACGTGACAGGCTGAACCAAACACACAAATCATACCGAATGACAGAAGCAAGGTCTGGATCTGATCTAGGATCCGGTGGGAGTGCCACATACACAAATCATACACGAAGAGAAAAGCAAGTGCGGCAAGGACTAAACCACGAACACAGAGAGCACGTACAAGGAAGATGATATGAAGACAGTGTAGTTCTTACTTGGAACCAGGAGCTCTAGATAGATCTCGCTCATTCAGCGTGTCTGGCATTTTATCATCCGTGGGATCAGCAGAGGGTATCCTGCAAGCACCAGGAAACAAAATGTGAGCACGACTGCAGTAACAATGTCCGGAAGTTATTTCCAAAATATGGTACGATGGCCACAAAGAAATCATGTCACGAAAACTAAAAAGAAGAACATATGCTTCGAGTCTCACACTGCCAAAACTGTTCACAGAACTGCAACGCCAAGTTCATGTGTCAGATACCCTAAAACGATCAACTCCAGAGAGATAAAACGTGCACATCAGATTCGTTGACGTCAACCCTCCTCGTCAACACCACATCCCACACATCACCAACTGCCCACCACTGAATCTAACTTCACACACACAGAAATCACCCATCTGTCTAACTCTAATCCCACAAATGCACATAGCAAAGACACAGACGAGCAACCATCTCCCGACAAACCGAGACACCCGAAATTACAAACAAACTGGGGGGACAGATTGGGCAGGGATCTAGGATAGCAAGGTCTGGATCTGGTTTCCAGGATCCCGGTGGGATTGCTGCATACACAAATCATACAAAGAAGAAAAAAAAACAAGCGCGGCAAGGACTGAACCAGGATCCGGTGGGACTGACGCATACACAAATCATACCAGAAGAGGAAAAAAACAAGCGTGGTAGGACTGAACCGAGAACACAGAGATCATGTACAGCAAGGAAAATGATTTGACGACAGAGCGGTTCTTACTTAGGAGAACTGGACGGTGGGTCTGACATTTTCTGATCCATGAGGTTAGCCACGGTTATCCTGCAAACAAACAAAACAAAATGTGAGCACGACTGCAGTAACAATGTCCAGAAGTTATTTCCACAATATGATAGGATGGCCACATAAACAGATCATACATGAAGAGGAAAACAAATGTGACATGGCCTGAACTAATTAAACACACAAATATCACGTAGAAATTAATGCACAACTGAAACTACAAAAACTACAATCAAGAGCTGTTTGGATGAGCTAGGGCTAGTTACTAGTTGCCTAGTTGGGCTAAAAAAAATTAGCCAAGGTTGGCTAGCTAGTTGGTTAACAACCAGTTAAAGACTTGTCTAAAAATTAGCCCACCTATTAGCCCTCCGATTTGGATGGGCTAGAGCTAATATGGGCTAATTTTTAGCTAGCCAGTGATTAGCCCTGGTATCCAAGTTCCAAACAGGCCCTTCAATATATGAGTCAGAACAGAAGATATGCTGTTTCACATAACTGCAACGCAAATGGTAGAAATAGCATGTCCAAGTTCACGTCTCAGATACCCTAAAAACAATCAACCACGAGATAACATGTGCGTCAGATACGTTGACGTCTCCTCGTCAACACCACGAACCACACATCTGAACACAGAATCGCAGAAATCGCCCATCTGTCCAACTCTAATCCCACGAATGCGCATAGAGAAGAGTACAAGACACAAACGAGCAACACCTCCAGACGAACCGAAACTACACACAAACCGGGAGGCTGGCCCCTGGAATCGACTGGGGAGAGACTAGGGTTTCGACCTGGCACTTACGTCGTTAGACGAGAAGTCCCAAGTGGAGCGAGAGGTTTCAATCCTTCGCTGCGGGCGCAGCCGCGGACGCAGATCGGATCGGTGACGAGCCGGCGCGTGGGGGAGGGTCGGAGTCCGGGGAGGAAGCTCCAGCGGAGGGGAGGGCTGGGGAAGGGCGGAGGAGGAACAGAGGGAATCCGGGCAAAGCCGATGTATGAATACTCCTCTGGAGTAATCTGAGATAGCCTTCTCGTTTCTGCGCTATAGTCGTATATACTTGTACCTATGCATTGCCTCTAAATTCTAAGTTTTTTTACTCTCTCTTCATCATATTAATTTTTGAACGTATACATGGAGCATTAAATATAGGTAAAAAAAAATAACTAATTATACAGTTTGGTTATAAATCACGAGACGGATCTTTTAAGCCTAGTTAGTCCATGATCGGACAAAGTTTGTTAAATACAAACGAAACATGCTATAGTGTCCAGATTGTAAAAATTTACAATCTCAACAAGACCATAGTGCAGGCTGCCTTGATTTTTGCTAGTACCATGGTCACCAAAGATTGTTTCCCTGGAAGACACGTGGGTTTTGTTCCTTCCATGATTTTTGTCGACATAAGATGCTCGACAGTCCTTCAAGGAGTATTTCACGAAGGTAGATTAATCAGTGGAGGTGCGCGTAATCAGGAACCGGAGGGTGACACAAGGCGCAGAGACAGCTATTTAGATAGGTTTGGACCGTCTGATCGACGTAACACCCTACGTCCTGTATCTTTGGTATATTGTATTGAATATGAGATGCATGTGAATATCGACTAAGGGACCCCTGCATCTCCTTATATACTCTGGATGGATATTGTCGGTGCAGAAAGTGACCAACTAGTGAATATTTGTAGTTTTGCTGTACGTTGTGATCGCAGGTGGCCTAGCACTCAATGACACATGGTTTATACTGGTTCAGGCAACGTGCCCTACGTCCAGTTTGAGTCGGTCAGTGACTTTATTCCTGAGCCCAAGTGCTCGAAGCTTGCAGTGGGGTTACAAACGAGAAGGAGAAAGATGGGGTGTACAAGAGGTCCGGTCGCCTCCGGTCAGAAGGGCCGAGAGTGACACGAGCTCCGCTATGAGCTAAGTGTTCAAGCGTATGCTTGAGGTCCGAACCCAGCGGTTCTGTGGTTGTGAGCTAGTGAACTTGATCGATTTTGATTAACTAAAGAGAACTCTCTTTTCGTTGGAGGAAGCGCATCCCCTTTTATAGATAAAATGGATGACTTTACAAGTGAGAATGTGAGGGTACGTATACTACTGGACTTTGTTGCCCATGCCGGTGGGTACAAGATAATTATAGGCGCCCACAATATTGCTGATGTCACTGTAGAATGTCAGATGCATATGGAAGGTTGCATTGCCATCTTCAGGAATGGCAGATGTCGGTACCTGAAAATACTGCTAATGCCTAGAGACATGTGAGAAGTTTCACCACGTTCACCCGATACTGTAAATCCCGGCGCCCACAACACTATTGATGTCCAGAAGCGTGGGGGGCTTACCGTATGGGAGTTAATGGCGCCCACAATACTGTAGAGGGAAATATCGGCGCCCATAATACTGTTTGTGTCAGGGCAGATGCAGAGTACTGTTCCTGCAGCGTACAAGGTATGGTCCCTGGTATCGTGGTTTGACTTGTGCGCCCTGGCTTGCTTTCTCTGCTTGCCCCCTGGTCCTTTCCGAGCGGGCGTCCCTGGTCGGATGGCCCTAGTCAGCTCTGGTTGCGCCAGTCGGAGAGGAGCGGTGAGCAGGGTTTCTGCGAACCCCGGTCAGAAGTGCGGGGTCGGAGTTGGAAGTAGTATTTGGGCCAGGCCTTCCGATCGGAGAGATCGTCCGGAGGTAGCTGGAGTCCGAAGTGAGCGCTCCGGTCGGAGAGGTGGGCCGAAGTAGTCGACAAGCGGGCGTTGTTCCTCTTTGGCCAGACCTTCTGGTTGGTGACTAGACTGCCCTTTCGGCTTGTTGTTTTAGACTCTTGGGCCGGGCCATGAGTTGCGTGCTGTCTGTTTGGGCCGAGCCTTGGCGTGGAAGCCAGTACCCGAGGGACCCCGGGTTTATGAACCCGACAGGAGCCCCCGAGCCCTCGGGCGATTCAGGCAGAATCGTTCGGGGGATTTTTATCCTGACGGCGGGTGCGCGCGAGCGCACCTGTGGGTGTAGCCCCCAAGCCCCCGGGCGGTTCGGGCAGAACCGTCTAGGGGGTGTTCGGTAGCGGACGTGTGCGCACGTTTTTATTTTGAGACGGAGTTTTGTCCACCAAGGCATTGTTGCGCAGCCATGGTGTTTAGTCGCTTTGAGTTTTGGGTGAGATGGAGCTTTGTGGATCCTAGCGTCGATGCGCGCTGTGGGATTGGGTGAGGCAGTTAGTCTAGTTAGTTTGGGATCGGGTGAGGCGACAAGGCGGTGCTCGCGGATCCTGATGGAGCGAGATCTGGGTCACAGACCTAGGTAGTTTTTGGAGCGCAGTCGGAGCATAGCCGGATGGGGCGAGATCGGGTCGCAGACCCAGGTGTTTTGGAGTGCAGTCGGAGCGTAGCCGGATGGGGCAAGATCGGGGTCGCAGACCCAGGTGTTTGGAGTGCAGTTGGAAGGGGCGAGTTCGGGGTCGCAGTCCCAGGCTTTTGTGTCTTGAGCCCCCGAGCCCTGTTGGGCCTTAGTAGGGGTCGGTGTGAGTGGTGTGTGTTACCTTATCCTCGGTTCCTCACAACCGGAGGGGCTGAGTTTTGTCGCTTGTCCCGATCGCTCGGGCTCGAGTGACGCGCTCGGTGAGTTCGCTAACGAGTATGATCGAGTGAAATCCGGGTCCGTCGTTCGTGACGGGGTCGGCATAGCTCTCTTGTGGCATTCCACTACTCCTTTACCTGCAACCCGGCCTCCCCTCGATGGAGATTCTATGGGCTTGACGAGAGGTTCAGGATCGAACGAGAAGGTTGAGATGACCCGGTCTGCCAGACTGGGCGAGGGCCGCACGGGGCTCATCTACGTTTTTCTCCCCTGGCTCTGTTGGTTGCTCATGTCGAATGAGGCAACCGTCGCTTCGTGATGCAACACGGAGCGTTGTGATGCATTTCGCTACACGTACGATGCTTAGTTCCCGAGCCCCCGGGAGGTTCAGGGCCCGAATCGTTCGGGAGGCACGGGCGTATGGGATGAATGCGCGTATGGATGTATGAAATGATTATAAGGAAATAGAGGGGGTTGGTAGTATTCACCTTGATGACTTGAGTGACGGGGTTTGGAGAGCTTTAGTTTGAAATGTTCGACCGAGACCCGTGCTCGTCGTTTGTGATGGAGTCGACATGGCCTACATGGGACGTCCCTTCGCTTCCTGCCTGTGTCTCGGTGTGTCTTTCTGAGCCGTTCGATCGACTTGGGAAGCCCGATGGTCTCTCCTGGTGGAGATCCCATTTTGGTTTTTTCCAAGTCCCGCCTGGGGATGCGAAGAGCTGCCTGCGTGTGGTGACGCTTCTGTTTTCATGCCCGGTCAAGCGATAGTGGTGGGGCCATACCCAGGCCACGTTTCGTCTCGCTAGGCGGCCTTCTATCTGACCCGGCGTCGTTCCATCGGTCAGTGCGCGTCCCTTCGGTCAGGGCGTGTCCCGTTGTTTCCCATCCGCATTGAATGGGGGAAGGGGGACATTTTTTCGCTCTAATCTTTTGCCCTTCTTCGGCTGTCGCGTCTCTTCCTTAAATAGGGGGATGGAGAGGGCTCTCCATCGCAGTCCTTTGTCTGTTCTCCAACTATTGTTTCTCCTCCTTCTTTCTCACCAAGAGTGCCTATATGCCACGGCGGTTCCTAAGTGAGAGAGGGGGTGAGTGAGGGGGAGGACTTACAGATCCTTTCGTGAACCCAGAGCGTGATGCCGAACTAGAGACTGCCGCAGGTGGTGCTAGATTAATCTGCAAGACTTTCTTTGGGATGGAGCCGTGTGTGGATTTTCTCCGATGGATATTCATCGGGCGAGCTTTGTCGGAGGGGAAGTTGCTCAGGATCGTGCCGGTGGAGGGTTCCGTGTCTGCGGTTGCTCAGTTTGGCCAGTTCATAAAGTTTGATGAGATTTCTTTCCGCCGTGGTGGCCATACCTTGGTAGTAGCACCCCTACCCAGGAGCTACCTCGACTGCATGAGAAGGTCAGGAGCTCCATGCTCTTCTGCTGGGCATCTATGGGTGCGACGCTTTTGAGGTACCCGTTGCGCTTGCCGAAGTCGAGGGAGCGGAACCGAACGGGTCCCTTGAGGTACCCGTTGCGCTCGCCGAAGTCGAGGGAGCGGAACCGGGTGGGGCACTAGCGGTTGTGGTTATGTCCGGCGTCGCATGCTGTGGTTTCTCCTTTTGGCATTTAGGCGATGTCGTCGAGCGGCCGCAGTAATATTTGTAGTAGTAGAAAATGTAATAGTTGAGTTTGTGGGTGAGTCCCTGTGTGAACAATTTGTTTATATCAATGAATACATCAGTCTTTTGTGACAGAACCACGATATCCATTCCTTGTTTTTATCCTAGCGTGACTTTCGTTTTTATCCTTTTCTCCCTCTCACCTGCTCGTTAGTTCCGTAGGCTGCAGCTGTTAAGAGCCTAGGCACGGCCCACGGGGCGCGGCTGCTTGTAATCGTAGGTCGTGGCGGGGTGCGTTCGGTTGGGAGTAAGAACATAGTCACGTAGGGCAATCAAAGGAAACGAATGTGTTTCCGTTCAGGGACAAAGTTGTTTATCATGTGATAGTAAGAAAAAGAGAGGTAATATTCAATATTGTACCCTTGTGGAGCCCCCGAGCGCCCTAGGCTGAAATTGCTCAGGCTAGGGCACTTTTACAGGAGCATGTG